AAAGAAGGCAGAGAAAACTTTGGAATGTAGCTGATCCATTTGACTAATTTACATGAATCTTATATTCAGGACACTTTATCTTTTGTTTTTTAAAGAATGGTTTTAGGTTCAAGTTTTATAGTTGTTTAAGTACAATGAACGTATTTGGCAGTGGAGACAATGGGATGGGAGGAAGAAGTAATCCATTCTTATAGACCATATATCACAAAAAATGGTGATGATTACATTTTAACAAGGGCAAATGGCTATATTTTTTTAGGTCAAAAAATTAAGTTTCCCCATTCTGAGGATGTGAAGAAAATTACAGAAATAATTTTGTATTATGTCTTAAAAACGTGTGATCATATATACAATTTACAGATCTGATAGAATCAAAGTATATGTTTTATATGTACACACACAACACTTTTATGAACCCCAAACTTTTTGAGTTGTTCTGCATTTTAAGTTCCATGGGATTGAACTGTCTTTTGAACTCCCTACCTACTTCCCTGGATCATGCTGATTTCAGTATTTTTATTTAGTATAGTATGTGCCTTCTATACAGGTCATAATTTTGCTCTCAACCAGGGATTTTTCTTCCCTGGCAGCTTTTCACCAAACTTTAACTTACCAAAGTCCTCAGGAAACTCAATTCATGGTCTATAAAGATTGTGAACAGATTATAAGTTCTACATTCATTTCTACTTCAGAAAAGACATCTTAAGACTGACTGAGATGAGAGCTGACCTAAGTGTACTCACTCTCAACTCACCTTCATCAAGTTAATCTATCCTCATTAAAAAAGAACAATAAGTGGGAGAAGTTCTCTGATGGGAAGGGCACTGGGTGCTACAAGTTCCGAATGGATGACTTTGATGTGGGGATGCCACGATGCATGGCAGTGCTGCCCGTGTCATCAACCACTCCTGTGAGCCCAACTGCTTCTCTCAAAGTCACCCACATGGAGGGCCAGAAGCCCATCATCATCTTCACCTACCCTGCACAGCACCCTGCATGGTGAGGAGCTCACCTATGACTACAAGTGCACCACTGACGATGCCAGCAACAAGCTGCCCTGCAACCGTGGCGCCAAGTGCTGCTGAAGCTGTGGCTATGTCACAGCCCCTGCTGCCAGCTTGCCCCTAGCCTGGGGACTCCCTCATCCCTCCCAGAGCATCTCACCCCACCCTCATGTTCAGGGTGGATGTGGGCATGCAGGTGGTAAGGGCCCTGCCTCCACCCTTCCAGCCCGCCCACCCAGCGATCACCTCTTCCTGCCCTGGGGGCCCAGAATAGATACTGTACAAAGGTTTCTAAATCCCTTCTTATCTATATTAAGAGGGTAGGATCCCAGGTGGAAGCCAGATCCCCGCCCCCATAAAGTCTGTCAATGTTAAAAACAATACAAGAACATAAAAAACTATTACCACATTCACAGTTTTAGCTTCATATTAATTGTTCACATAAGAAAGGATAGTAGATTATCCTCAATTATTGTGAAAGATGGAGAGTAGAGAGGTCGTAAGAGGAATGTGGGGAGATAAAATACTTAAGGCTTAATGATGTGGCTCAGATATGAAGAGAAGAAGTTAGTTAAGAATCACACCAAGACTTCTGATTTGCATCCCTGAGTAAATGGTGGTGCCATTCTCTAAGATCTGGAACACTCGAAAAAGAGCTTGGTGGGGGCGGGGGGGCTTGGTGAGGCTGACTGTAAATTCCTTTAAGACAACCAAAAAGAATGTCAAGTAGTCAAGTGGTCTATGTAGTCAAATTCAGAAAGGTCTGGGTGATATAATTTCATGACTCATCTGCACATAGGTGGAAACTGAAGCTGTGTAGATGAGATTACAGAGAGAGAGACAGAGAGAGGGAGAGGGAGGGAGGAAGAGAGAGAGCGCGCGCACAGAATAAGAGGGTCCAAGACTGACCCTTGAAGAACTGCTACATTTAGTACCTAGACAAGGAAAATCAGACTGCAAAAACGAAAAGAAGTGTTCAGTGGAGGAGGAAACCAAGAAAATGTTGTGCCATAGAAGCCAAGACTAAATGATGTATCAAAGGCAGTTGTGAATACTATGGACAAGTACCAGGTGAAAAAGAAAAAAATCGAAAAAGGCCAACTCCAAAAGTCTGAATTTGTAATGTACATGACAATAGATTACATACTCTCTATGTCTGGACATACTTTAAAATTTTGGGAACTATTTCATATCATTGAATAGAACCCTTGAAAACCAGTTTCTGACTCTGTGGCAACACTGTAATGCTTCAAAAACTCAAAGGTTTCTATTCAGATAACATAAATAACTAATACCTATATATTAAGTCGATAATTTCACCTGTTCCCCCAAGAGCTACATTATTTATTGAACTGGAATTCCTAACTCAACAGCCACCAAACTAAAGAAAGCTACCACATTTTACATCTTAAAAGCAGTTTTAAAGTCACACCTGTTCCTTCAAGGAATTCTAACAAGTGACAACTCTAACAAGCTTAAAGATTAAACTTGTTTTAATACCATAATAAATTAAGGATGCTGTATTTTTATTCTGTTCTCAAAAAAGATGAAAGAGCAAAGTATCTCACCTTCATCTAAAACAGATAATAATTTCCACTTATTTTACAGTCTTTCCTGTCTTTAATGTAGGGAATGTCTGTGAATCCTGTGGATTCCTAGGCAAAATTTTATACATATTTACATTTTTCTGGGGATAATATTTATTGTTTTCATATTCTCAAAAAGCTTAAAAAGTTATGAACCACTTAATATACAGCAATTTACCCATGGCTATACTGACTCAGTTATGCTGCCCTTTAGATGTTTTTCCCCTGATAATTTGGTCTTAGAACCCCAAACTGGCTTAGTACAGCTGAAATTCACTGAGCAATGCCCCAAAGCCATTTCAGATACTTATATCAACGTCTCCCCATGATATGTTGCTAAATAATATTTAAAGACTAGAACGTCATCTGTTTCACGATCTCTTCACTCCGCTTGGAATGAAACGCAGGCAGTAGAATACCACAAACTGTGTAGTCTGTTTCTGAATAATTGGTTGTGTCCCTAATTGACACGAAAAGGTAGACTCTGGGCCAGGCATATAATTATCTGAGTCAAGTATATAGAGATTAGAAAGTATCCAGTATTCAAGTTATCTGGTTCAATTCTCTTCACCTGTCATAATTCTCTTAAGGCAGGAAAAAGAAAAGCACAAATACCCCCTTCAGAAAACGAAAACAAGCCTGCATGCTACATAGATGACAAGAGTAACACAATGGATACCGTGTTGAAGCACTCATCAGCTCACTTTCTGACTGAAAATGATTTCCCAAACGCCTTCGTGCTGCATAAATGCTGCTGGGTGTTTCGCTTTGACATTCCTTAAGCAGAGAGCAATAAAAGGGCCACAGGTCACAATCCAGTTCAGCACTGGGGCAGTATCAAAGGGACTGTACCTGCCAGGGCCAATTCAGTTTCTAAAAACTTAACTTCCCTCCTCCTCCTTTCCACACGTCTTGTTTTTTCTTTCCCTGTTACCCCCTGCGAGAATTAAATCTCAGATCTCTGTCTTACACCATCACACTTGGACGATGTGGACGAGACGCTGTGAACGAATATTCAACAGAGACACGAAGTTGTAGGAGAAATGTAGTGTGTCTAGGTGGGAAATGCACTGCTCTGGTATTGGGGCAAGTAGGAGTCCTTCCTCTGAGCCTCAGTTTCCCCGACAGTGTAACAAGGGGCTTTGGTGGAGCTGGTCTCGAAGGTATCCCCTGCCTCGGAGTCTCTTCCACGCGGGCTGGGGTCCAAGCCCCAGCCAAGTGCCTCGCCACATCTGCGGCCGCGGGGTCCGCGCCGCCTCCAGCGAGGGTGCAGCTGGGGCCCAACCCCGCCGGCCGGGACCCGGCCACCCCCGACCTCTCATCGCCATCTTTACCTGTCCCGTTAGCAGGCGGGACTCAACGAGGAGACGGCTACCAAGTCCGCCGCCGCCGGGGAGGCCGTCCCGGGCCAGTTCATGGCCGAGCCTCCGTTTTTGGCTGCCCCTGTAGACGGTCACCGCCGCCGCCAACGTCTCGGCCTTTCGTGCCGTGCGCCGCCGCCACGTCCTCAAACCTGCCGTGCGTCATCGCGTCAAGTGGGCGGAGGTGGGAAGGGACCTGGAGGAGGCGGAGGCCGGGTCGCGAGGGCGAGCCTAGAACCTGGGGCTCCCCAACCACAAGCCTACGCGGGCGCGCAGACTCAGAGATTCCGCCGCAGCCCAGGAGTAGGGTCCGGTCCAGCCCCGCCCCTGACTCCTCCCCTTAGGCCCCGCCCCTTCACCCCCAGTACGTAATAGATCCAGGGCCAAGGCCGGGGGCTAACCCGGCGGCCCGGGGCGACCTTCCGGCTGCGCCTTTGTCCTTCGTTCGCACAGCGCTGGCAAAGGCTGGCTAGAAAACACTGAGGGGGGAGGTGATGGGGATTTGTCGGCGGCTGTTGTGCATTTCCTCTTGCTCTGAATCTGGAGGTTTCTGTGTGATGGGGAAGGACTCCCCAAAGCATAGTATCGACATCCGTGTTTTAGATTGTTCTGTGCTTCTAA